GATATTCATGAGATTCGATTCATCAAAATCCGGCAAAAATCAAAAAGGAAAATTAGTGTGCGTTTTGTGCTAATTAGCCAAAATGGAGTATTAGGAGGGTATAACTGTCCGAAACAGAAAGGAGAGCAAAAAATGTTGGAAAAAGCTCTCTTGTTCACAGCCCTCTCACAAAGTGTGGGGGCCACGATTATTTTAATAATAGTGGCCCCACCCACGTGACTTTCGTGAGTGGGATGTGAAATTTGGTGTACGCCATGGTATACACCAAGCACTTCTCAAAAATGTTGAACCTCGCTACAGTGACCGAAAATGGATGACATGCGGTTTGACATCATCTCACAATGAGGGGTGGCCCACTTTTTTTCCAGGAATATTAAATTCATGTGGGGCCCACGGCTTGTGAGAGGGTGTCAAACCGCATGTCACCCATTTTTCTGGCAAAGAAGCATTTTCCAACCTACATATCTAACAATCAAAAAATGAGAAAAGTTCTGAACAATATAATTTTGATGTACAAATATAAAAAAAATTTAACGTTTGGTCAATTCAACTAATGAGACAAAATGTTTGATCAAGAAGTACATTGTTCGAAAATATTGATACGTAAAAAGTCAAGGTAGTCACTGACTTCATTGTTCATTGTAAGTACAGAATATTAGATTGATTAGACAAAAAAATCTCACACCTCTCTTAATTGTGTGCACTTCTACATGCTAAGCACATCAAAGTAATGTTTTTTTTTTTGATACGGAATACAAGATTCATTCATCAAGCAAAGCTACAGCTGTGACTAAGCAATACAGATAAATCTGACTAAAAGCCAACTAACGCAATCAGCACTGAGGCAGCCCCGCACACAAGTGACGGGCATTGTCTTAACTTCTAACTCTCTCCGAAGAGAGAGCGAGCACTCTAAAAATAGAGTCACGCGACGGCAATGGACACAAAGTCCAGAAGCCAAACACACTACCTAACCTACCGAAGAAAACAACACAAAACACCTAACACAGCAAAGGGCCACAACTATTATTTGACAGCTCAAAAAAGAAAATGTGAATGCACAAATCTCACATCAAAGTAATGTTGGAAGCTAAAATTTTGAATATTGAAACTGTTCACTATGCTGGATTTACTTTAGGAAACATTGTAGCAACAGTCCCAAACCATTTCAATTTTTGTACACTTTACCCTAACCTTTGTTTTGTGCCAGCGGAGGTCTCAAATCTTTCAAAAATATGCACCAGAGGTCTAAATGGACAGATTCTGTCCAGTTGACCATTAGTCAACCCAAAAAGTCAAAATTGATTCAATTTTGACAAAACTAGGAGAGGTAAAATGGTACTTTCAATTTTTCTTATTTTAAATAAGTTAAAAAAAATACAAAAAAACCAAAAAAAGCATGTTGCAATCACTCTCCTTCCCGGCAGCCAGCACCACCATGGGCACGCTGCCCATACCAGCGCATCATCACCCTCTACAAATCCCACACAAACAACATCCCATCAAAACCAAAATCTAATCAAAATTTGGCACCAAAAAACACTACCTGCGCAAGGTTTGGCACCAAAAATCCTGTGAATCTGTTGTCCCTTTCGACACCCAAAGCTGCGCAAGATTTGGCACCAAAAAAACCTGTAAATCAGCCTTCCCTTTCGACACCCAAAGCTGCGCAAGGTTTGGCACCAAAAAACATTTGCTCTTTTCTTTCGACACCCTCTACAAATCCCACACAAACAACAGCCCATCAAAACCAAAATCTAATCAAAATTTGGCACCAAAAAACATTGCCTGCGCAAGGTTTGGCACCAAAAATCCTGTGAATCTGCCTTTCATTTTGACACCCAAAGCTGCGTAACATTTGGCACCAAAAAAACCTGTAAATGAGCCTTCCCTTTCAACACCCAAAGTTGCGCAAGGTTTGGCACCAAAAAGCATTTGCTCTTTTCTTTCGACACCCAAAGCTGCTGCGCTTCGTCAGAAAACCTGTGAATCAGCCTTGAAGAGTAAATGGGAGTTGCAGCGGTGCATAAGTAGTTGAGAATGAGCTGAGGATTTTTGGTTATCTGGAAGAAACTTTGAGAAATTTGCGCAATGAGTTTCCCGATAAATCTACAGTAGTGAGATTCGAATGCCAATGCTTTGGGAGATAGCCAGTGAGATTAGTGTGTGAAAGAGTGACAGAATGCAAGAATTTCATGCTGTTGAGGATAATGGAAGGGCCAATAGCGGTTATACTCATTTGGGAAATAGTTAAATTAGAGGGATGGAGATTTGAGGTAAGTTCAGAGAGGAATCGAATTGGGGAAATGGGGCAGTTGATGAACTGGAGAGTGTTGAGAGTGGAGAGCGATTTGAGTGTGAGAGAGGAGGTGGCGGAAGGGCTTGGAGGAGTCATAGGCGGCGGCGACGTGGAGGTGAGATTTGGGGGTTCAATCAAATTGGGTTGGATTTTGTTTGTTTTGTGGCAGAATAGTCGACGGTAGGCGAGAGCTAGTGGTTTCACTTCAACGACGGCGACGGCGATGGTGATGGTGGCTGAAGGTTGAAGAAGAAGGGTAGGGTGGGGATGGGGTAGGGTGGGAGAGAGGGGGGACTGTTTTTGGTTTTTTTTTTCTATTTTTTTGTTTATTTATTTAATGTTTTAATTGCTCCAACCATCTTTTCCCCTTATCTTCCTTCTTGTCAAGTTCAGATTTGTCGGTAAGGACTCATGCATCGCGCACCACACAAACATTTTACTAACGCTTGGGGCTTTTAACTTCCAAAGTTTCTCCCAAACTCCATTCTGACTATTGCTGGTGGAACATTGGCCAGAAGATTCCTGTTTCATCTGGCTTATAAAGTGATAAGCGCTTCCGACAGTGAATTTTCCATCCCTCGTACCCTGCCAAATGAGTTTGTCCGGACTTCTCCTAGGAACTTCTCCTAGGACTGATAGGAATCTTTCTAATGAGTCTAGCTTCTGACTCATCAAATATTTCTGAGATCAATTGTAAATTCCAGCTTTTCGTATTAGCATCTATAAGCTCGCTCACTCTACCATGCTTAAAACGGCCTTGTAAGGAGGATTGAACCTAAAAGGTAGTAGCTTGAGGGACCCACTTATCCATGCCAGTGACCACTGATTCTCCATTTCCAATGCGCCAAAAAAGTCCTTTTCTTAAGACTTCTTTGGCGTTTTGGAAACTCTTCCAAAGGAATGATGCATTGCTACCAGATTTACTATTCAAAAAATCTGTTTTGCTGAAGTATTTTACTTTAAATACCATTGCAGCCAATGAGTTTGGATTTTGGATAAGACGCCATCCCTGATTTGCTAGTAATGCCATGTTGAACATCTCAAAATCTCTGTAATCGAGTCCTCCGTCGTTTTTGGATTTCCCCAACAAGTTCCAGGAAAGCCATTGCATTTTTGTTCTATCCCCTCTATTGCCCCACCAAAAATTCTTGACTTATCGGTTTATAGCATGAAGAATGGTTCGTGGAAGCTTAAAAATACTCATACAATATGTTGAGATATCTTGGATGATGGCCTTTAGAAGAACTTCTTTACCTGCTTGTGAAATAAACTTAATAGTCCAACTATTCTTTTTGTTTTTAATCACCTCAAGGATTGGTTTGAAGGCAGTCATTTTATTCCTCCCAACATAGGCCAGCAAACCCAGGTATTTTTCAAAAGACTTTGCTTCTCTTACTGCAGCTGCATGAAGAACTGCACTCTTGATCTCCGGCTTTGTGTTGTCACTAAAATAAATGGAAGTTTTGACCATATTAAGCCTCTGCCCCGATGCATGTTCAAAAACCTTCAAAATGTAGGAGAGTCGCCACTATTCTAGAACGTTTGCCTTGCAGAAATTAGGCTGTCATCTGCAAAAAATAAGTGATTCACTAGGAGGTTGCCTCTCGCAAATGGAAAACCTGTAATGACTCCTTTTGCCTCAGCTTTGTCCAGTAAGTTGCCAAGCACTTCAGAGCACGGAATGAAGAGGTAAGGGGATAGAGGGTCTCCTTGCCTTAATCCCCTCGTTGGTTGAAACGAACATTGTGGCTCTCCGTTGATAATCAGGGAATATTTCACTGTTTGGACACAAAGCATGACAAGCTCTATCCATCTCTCACCAAAGCCAAGTTTCCTTAGAACAGCTTCTAGGAAACTCCACTCGATGTGGTCGTATGCCTTGCTCATATCCAACTTTAACGCAATAAAGTCTTCTTTCTTTCCTTTGACTCGATACTTCATGGAGTACATGGTTTCAAAAGCCACAATAGTGTTATCTAATATCAAACGCCCTAGGACAAATGCACTTTGAGCTGGTGAGATAATAACAGACAAGAAAGATTTAAGCCTGTTAGCCAACACTTTTGAAACGACTTTATAAAGAACATTATACAGGCTAATAGGCCTATAATCTGAAACTGAGACATGAAGCTTTTTTTTAGGAATCAGACCAATAAAAGTATCGTTAATTTCATTGAACCCTTTTCTAGATGCAAGGAGATCTTTGACTGCTGCACATAAGCTTTCCCTAATTGAGTCCCAATTGTCTTGATAGAAACCAGCTGAGAAACCATCAGGTCCAGGAGAGCTATGTGGGTCCATTTCAAAAGTTGCACGCTTGATTTCCTCATCAGTACACAGTTTCTGTAATTGGACATTCATCTCTGGAGTAACCTTGACCTCTAAATCCTGTAACGCTTCTTCAATGCCCAAAGGGTTAGAGGTTGAGAACAATTGCTGGTAGAAAGATTGGAACATGTTGCATACCTCATCCTGTTTGGTGGAGACTTCGCCCCGTTCATTCAAAATGCTCCTGACATTATTTTGGTTCTTTCTTTGAGTTGCACATTTGTAAAAATAAGAAGTGTTCATGTCCCCGCTTTTGAGCCACATTTGTTTAGATCGTTGCCTCCACTTGATTTCCTCAACTTCTAGTGGATCATCGATCTATTTTTGAGTGTCTTTGATTCTACCAATCAATTCACCTTGGTTGTTATGCTGCATGAATCGAAGCTTCTGCAAACATGCTCGTAGCTTCTTCCTTTCTGCTCATGCATTAAATTTAGCCCAGTTCTGGAGTCTTTCACTGCAACTCAACGAACCTGCTTTGAAACAGAGTAATGGACTGCTCTGCTCCCTAGGAATTGGCCAGGCACTATCAATAATTTCTTTGTACTCCTGCTTCCCAGACCAAGATGCTTTATACCGAAAACGTTTGACGAGACGAGATTCCACGGTAACATGCCTATTGCTGCAGGTTATGAGGAGTGGATTGTGGTCCGAGTTGGTAACTGGTAGCGTCTACACCTCACAGTTATTGAAAAGGGATAGGAAAAAAAGGATTTAAAAAGGCTATGTCCAACCTTTCTTTAGTGAAATGTCTCCCCTCTCTCTTGTTACTCCAAGTATATTTTGATCCAACGAAGCCCAAATCATTCAGTTCACACTCCTCTATCACCTTGCTAAAGTTGTCCATTTGGGAAAACGGTCTCGTGGCAGCTCCAAACTTCTCATCCAGATTAAGAATTTCATTGAAATCACCCATAATCAGCCATATGGTCGGACATGACGGACTCATCATTCTCATGATTTCCCAACTCTATTTTCGTCTATCTGTAATTGGATTGCCCTAAAAACTCGATAAAAACCACGTTGAGCTGGCATCATCATTCTTGATATTCAGAGTAATGTGACTTCTTGAATAATTAACCAAAGATGCATCAACTTCCTTTAACCAAAGAAAGGTTAAACTGAAGAATTATTTCCTTTTTATTATATTTCTTTTTCTTTATTCGCATGCATTTACTCAGTTTTTGTTAGTTAGTTGGTTTGGCCATGTGTCCAATTTTCATTGGTTAATATTTGTATAAATACCTTTAGACCTCTACGTTGAAATTAGTTTGGATGAAATAAAATTCTGTGAAAACTTGCAGCATTCTTAGCTGCACAAAACCTTCATCTACAAATTCAATATGTTATCAGAGGCAATTACCCAAATCCTGAGCTCAATCATCTAACCTGTCGTCGATCATCGCTACGAAAATTACACACGAGCGAACTCAAGGTTTACCTACAGAACAAGGAGCTTCTGAGAAGGATTACAGCAATGGAGATCCATTAGATCTGCAAGGATAAGATCACCCAGGAATGGTACTACTCACTTCACCTTTAACAGGTAAAAATTATTTGAGTTGGAGTAGATCGATTAAAATTGCACTAGGTGCAATATTGAAATTGGGATTTATTAATGGGAAATGTGAGAAACCAGCTGAAAATTCTTCAAAGTTCGATCAATGGATTAGAGTGGACTGTATGGTTAGATCTTGGATACTGAATTCAATCTCGAAAGAAATTGTATATGCATTCATTTACAGAACTTAGGCCAGGGACTTATGGGTTGAATTGGAGGAAAGATATGGGGAATGCAACGGTCCTTTACTATACCAATTGCAGAGAGAGATTAGTAGTTCAACTCAAGGATCATTATCACTTGAAAAGTATTTCACTAAACTCAAAAAACTATGGGACGAAATTGCATGTCTGATGCCTATTCCAATTTGTACTTGTGGAGCTACGAATGAAGTACTGATTTAGCCTCATTCAATAAACTTATTCAATTTTTTATGGGATTAAATGATACTTATGATAATATCAGAAATCAGTTGTTGGTGATGGATCCTTTACCATCAGTTAATAGAGCCTACTCCATGGTTTTGAGAGTTGAAAAACAAAGGGAGGTACATGTACTTTTTCTAGAAGCTACTGATAATCTAGCTATGATGGCAACAACAAACAATTACAGAGATAATGGACATGTGAGAGGAAGAGGAAACTGGATTGGAAGGTCTAATTCCGAAAGAGGTAATACTACCTTCGGAAGAGGAAACAATAAGAAGTTTAACAACTTTGATAAGGAAATGCTATTCTGCGATCACTGCAATGCAAATGGACATTCAAAGGAAGGCTGTTTCAAGTTAATTGGTTATCCGGATTGGTACAAAGGATTGAAGGAACAAAGAGCTAAGGAGTTTGGAGGGAGAACTATGATAAATAATGTGATGAACATGGGTGATTCACCCCTTGATCTTGAAGAAAAGGGAGCTGCGATGAATCAAAAGAGTGAAGTATCATCTGGTAATATCACAGACATTGTGCAACAAGAATTGATGAGAATGCTCAAAGGAAAATTGCTGGTAGACAATGGAAATCAAATCAATTTTGCACATCTCAATGACTATTCAGGTATGTGTACTCAACATTTGGCTTTTACATCACTTAATTTATGATAATGCTCAAAGAAAAATTGCTGATTGATAATGGAAATCAAATTAAATTTGCATACCTCAATGATTATTCAGGTATGTGTTCTCAAGACATGGCTTTTACATCACTTGATGATTTTGGATGTAGAACTTGGATAATTGATATTGGTGCTAGCAATCATATATGCATAGACATTAACCAAATTATCGATGTAAAACCTGTTACACAATCTACTGCTGTTTGCTTACCTGATGGATCTATTAAGCATATCAAATACATTGGATCCATCACTATAAATCGAAGATTGCTCCTAACCAATGTATTGCATATTCCCACATTCAAATTTAACATTTTATCTGTCCCAAAATTAACACAAACTACAATGATTAAATTCATTTTTTATCCAACTTATTGCTCCCTATAGGACCTAAAGGATGAAAGGACTCTAGCAATTGGAAAATTGAATGGGAAGTTATATACATTAGATGATCATAGTTTTTTGGATAAGGAGATTGAAAGTTGTAATAGAGAAGTTAGTTTTTGTAATAAATTGTCAGCTGGGAGATTGAAACCTGGCGATGATATGTTTCATGTAAATAAAGTTTCTTCTATTTCTATTGTTGATTGGCACAATAGGTTGGGACATGCTTCATACCAATGTCTACATCATTTAGATTTTCTTAGTCGATTGTGCAATACTTCAGCCATAAAAACTTTACAGCCATGTGACACTTGCTACAAAGTAAAACAGAGCAGATTGTCCTTTCAAAATTCTCAGATCCATACTAAGTCCATTTTTTATCTGTTACACATTGACATTTGGGTCCATTTAAACAATATACGCCTACACGAACTCCTTACATGCTCACCATTGTGGATGGCTATTCTAGAACCACATGGACTTTCATGTTAATCCAAAAATCACAAACAGTAAAAACTCTTGAATCATTCTTCAAAATGGTCAAAAATCAATTTGAAAAAAATGTTAAGGCTATAAGAACCGACAATGGTAGCGAATTCACCAGTCATGAGTGTCAAGTTTTACTTCAGGCCTTTTGGTATTTTACATAAAAAATCGTGTGTTTACACTCCACAACAAAATGGAGTGGTTGAAAGAAAACATAGACATTTGTTGGATATGGCCAGATCAGTCATGTTCCAAGCAAACCTACCTAAACACTTTTGGTCATATTCCATTCTTATGTCAACATATATCATAAATAGGATTCCTAGTTCCATCCTAAAATGGCAAACTCCTTATGAAGTCCTGTATGGAACAAAACCGATTCTATCTTCTCTAAAAAAATTTGGTTATCTTTGCTATATCACCAATACAAAACCTTACAAGGATAAATTTGAGTCAAGGGCTCATAAATGTATTTTCATTAGATTCAGCCCTGGACAAAAGGTCTACAAAGTCTATGATCTATCCAACAAGCAAATTCATGTCTCTAGATATGTTATCTTTTATGAGAACATATTTCCTTTTAAATTTCAAGGTCAGCCAGTCATTCAAACACCCTTACCTGTAGGATCACCTCTAGAATATTCCTCCATATCACCCACAAATTTTCCTAACAAGGATCAAAATGATTCAGACCTTTTCCAAGACCACGTGACAGACTCTGTTCCGATAATCATACACCAGGCTCCTCCAATTCTGATCCTTATACTGTGCCCATTATTCAAGTTCCTTTCCCTGAATCTCCCATTACTGAATTAGATGATGTGCAAGAGCCTAGACATGCAGTAGACCGAGAGTTAAACCTACCTGGTTGGATGACTACATCACTAACGTAACTGAAAATTCAGTGAATCCAATTGCTAATGTCCAAGCAAGTTTTGATACCATTAAGTTCAGCTCACAACATACACCTACCACTTTTCCATATTCTATTTCACCTTGTTTACACCATGCATATATTTCTTTTCTGGCCAATGTATCAAATGTTCAAGAACCACATACATATCATCAAGCTTGTAAAGATCAAAATTGGGTACAAGCCATGAATAATAAGTTGAAGGCATTGGAGGAAAATGATACATGGGAATTGACTTATTTACCTGCTGGAAAGAAAGCTATAGGATCTAAATGGGTTTATAAGGTCAAGCTTAAACCAGATGGAACAATTGATAGATTCAAGGCAAGGTTAGTAGTAAGGGGATATGATCAAATGGAAGGAGTAGATTTCTTTGAATGTTTTTCACCTGTGGTAAAGTTGGTTACAGTAAGGATTTTTCTTGCAATTGCATCAGCAAAGTCATGGCCCATTCACCAGCTCGACATTAGCAATGCCTTTTTACACGGGTATCTTGATGAAGATATCTATATGGAACCACCAATTGGATATAAACAAGCTTTAACAGGTCAGGTTTGCAAATTGAAAAGGAGTTTATATGGTTTGAAACAAGCATCAAGACATTGGAACATTGAACTCTGTCATAAGCTTACTGGTTATGGTTTTACTCAGTCTCAGCATGATCGTTACCTTTTTATTCATCAATCTTCTGATCATAGTATTTTCCTTTTAATATATGTGGATGACATATTGATCACTGAAACACATAAGTTAGATATAATTTATATCAAGCATTTTTTGCATTCAAAGTTCACTATAAAAAAATTTAGGATATGCAAAATTCTTTCTGGGACTCGAAATTGCTAGAGGAAAGGATGGTACATATGTGAATCAGAGAAAATACATTTTAGAATCATTGAAGATTAAGGTCTTGCTGGTGTAAAACTTGTTGGAGTTCCTATCCCTAAAGGTACAAAGTTGTTACAAAACGATGATGAACTTTTTCCAGATCCAGTAAGGTATAGAAGGTTGATCGGTAGACTTCTATACTTGAATCTAACAAGGCCGGATCTTACATATGGGATACAACAATTGAGTCAGTTTGTCAGCAAGCCTTGCCAAATTCATTGGGACACAGCAGTGCATCTATTGAAGTATTTGAAGGGATGTCCTTCTAAAGGATTATTCTTCCCTGTTCAGCAAGATCTTTCTTTAACAGCATATTCGGATGCGGATTGGGTTTCTTGTGTAGATACTCAGAGGTAACTTACTGGTTTTTGCATCTTCTTGGGAAATACTCTGATTTCTTGGAAAATCAAGAAACAAAATACTGTGTCAAGATCAACAGCAGAGGTAGAGTATAGAAGCTTAGCTGCCACAGTTTGTGAACTTCCCTGGATCAGTTATGTCCTTGCAGATTTTATGATCAGCCTACCTCTACCGATTCCGTTGTGGTGTGATAATAAATCTACACTTCATATTACAGCAAATCCAATTTTTCATGAACGAACCAAACACCTCGAAATTGATTATCACATTGTGCGGGATAAGTTCAAGGAAGACTTTGTTCTTCTTCAATATATCTCATCTTCCCACCAACTCGCAGACATTTTCACAAAGGCTCTGCTACCTCCCCAGTTTTATCTCATTATCGGCAAGCCAGGTCTAGAAGATCTTCATCATATGCCAGCTTGGGTTGGGGGGGTGAATAATTATTTCCTTTTTATTATATTTCTTTTTCTTTATTCACATGCATTTACTCAGTTTTAATTAGTTAGTTGGTTTGGCCATGTGTCCAATTTTCATTGGTTAATATTTGTATAAATACTTTTGGACCTCTACGTTGAAATTAGTTTGGATGAAATAAAATTTTGTGAAAACTTGCAGCATTCTTAGCTGCACAAAACTTTCATCCACAAATTCAATACAAACCCCCACTCCGACCTATGCAATCCACGACAAAACAATAATCAAACCTAAGTTTCAATCTCACCTTCTCCATGTTCTTGCTTTAAAGTTTGGTTTCGGAGAGGAAAACCAAACTTGGGCGTTTTTCCTTCACCAATTGGTGAAGTTCCCGAACTGTCCGAAGGTTCCCAAGCCCTCGGCAGTTCTAGCATATCATTTTCATGATGAGTGGCAGGGCAGCTCAGCAGCCTCTGCCATAGCCAGGTCTGTTTCTCCATCAAACCGGATTTGCAACTCCTTCCTTGGATCAATTTCAGGTTGCCCAAGTTGCATAACTGCCATCGTCCATTCCGTTTCTCCATCAAACCGAATTTTCAGCTTCTTACGCGATTCAATTTCAGGTTGAAAATCAGGTTGCCTACTTTCCTTTTGCTTTTGAAGAAATTCTGTTTCTGTTTCACCAACAGCAGCAATGTTCTGGGCAGATTTTATGATTGGACAAAATTGGGCTCTTATTTTCCATGTTTTACCTTGGCCTAGGACCTTTTTGGACTTAATCTTCATTGGGCTTGATTTAGTCTCATGTTGGGCTTTTCCATTGATAGGAGTCATTGAAGTTAGGGAAAAATTCATTTCTCCTACTTTTACTTTACAATATTTCAAAAATAACAAAACAACTTTCACATTTCAAAAATAAGATATTTGGACCTACACACACACACACACACACACATAACCCATCCCCACCTCCACCACCCCTACCGCTCCGGCGACTATTCCGGCGATCTCTTCAACGACTGTTCTGGCTACTGCTCCGATTCCGATGACTATTCCGATGACATGAATTTTTTTGTACGGTCACAGCCTAGGGCACAAGTCACAAGTCATAACTCAGGTCATAAGTCACAACACATGGTTGTTTGTTTAAGGTCACAGGTCACAACACATGATTTTTTGTTTATAATAATTGATAACACAATAAGGCTCACGTCTCACATTTTTATTAATAGTCACATGTTATTTTCAAATGGTCACAGCACAAGTCACAAAATATATTGCACATGGCTCCTATGTTATTTTCAAATGGCCACAGCACAGGTTACGATTTTGTTCATAGTCCCATGTTATTTTCAAACGCTCAGGTTTTTGTTGATAGTCAGCATATGTCACAGCATAGGTCACCTCAGGTCACAGCATAGGTCACAGCACATGGCTCAGATCATAACATTGGTCACATAGACTATATAGCACCACCTCACCACCACCACCGTCTTACATGCCCTAACCCTACTCCGCCGCTGCCACCACCGCCGGCAACTCACCACAACCACCATCACTAACGACGCCAACATAGCCTCACCAATCAACGCCACACAAAATCACCACAACCACCATCACTAACGTTGCCAACACAGCCTCACCAATCGACGGCAAACCAAAAACCACAGAAATTATTAGATCCACAACAACATGCCACCACTATAGTCTGCACACCACCAAACACACCCGACAATACACCACCCACAACCTTACCAAAATGACACACATCAACACTACCATCACCAGATTAACCACCACCGTCGTTACCACCGCCGCCGCCGCCGCCGTCGCCATTGGCAAAACAACCACAACCACCACCATTTTCAACCACCACCACTTCACAAACCAACCATATCGATCGCTACTGCAGATCGCAAGAACTCGTAAACATATTTTCAGTTAAAAATTTAAAAAAAATCAACAAGTGTAAAGAGAGGATTGTAGGATTGGAGCCGAAAACAGCCAATTAGAAATCGATTCAGGATCTTCCGTTTCAAAAATGGGTCCTATTGATTGAAACCCAACGTGCGCCGGTGGCCCCTTGTGCGGTAGTAATGGTCGTTCGACGTCTCGGAGTGTCGGGCTAGCGACGCCGCTAGGTGGTGGCGTCTTATCCAGCAGTGGTGGTGGCTCTTCATAGCGGCGACGACAGTGTTCTTCGTGAGGGAGATGAGTTAGAGAGATCGTGTTCTGCGTGAGGGCGAGATGTGGTGGCGTCTTGTCCGGAGGTGGTGGTGGCTCTTCATAGCAACGATGGCAGTGTTAGTGAGAGAGATGAGTGACACCGACAATGTTGAGAGATGAGTGAGGAATGGAGAGAAAATAATATCAAAAGTGATTAGGGTTAGGTATAATTATATTTAGTGAGTGTATATAAATTAATTTTTATAATATTATTATTAATATTTAATTAAATATAAAAAAACTTGTATCTATATATAAAATATCTGATTTTTGAA